ATTCTTTCTTTTTGTTACCATATCATTCTATGGTAGAAATTAAGTAATGAAGTAGTATGCTAGTATGCGGTTCCGATGAGCGTTTGAAAATATTTCGGGTTGATTTACATAACACAAAGCCAAAAATCAAAGAATGTTAAGAATGTTTACGCATTAAGAATGCATATATGGACTGTGTAGGCTGTATGGATCCAAAGCAAAACATATATTGAATTTACAGTAATACAGTATATGATTGCTGTATGTATCCAGTAGATGGCGGTATAAACTAGAAATAATGTATTTGAGTATAATCAGCCTCTCGTTGCGTTTACAGGCAGCCAAAGTTAGTTCAAGCTGTGAGTTTAAAGGTAAGATAATAGAGTGTAAGTAATGCGTGATTTCAGGCTTTCCCACTGACTGCTTGAACACACACTTTCACATGTCCATGACAGAGCCCATAGCACTTTATCAAATATAAAATATGTGCGAAACCATGGAGAATTAATTTAATGCATCAGAGAGACTGGAATTTGTTAGAAGTGAACGGTTTGCGCTGTGAGTTTTACCGAAGCGGTGGTGAGGGAACGTTCACCTAAAACAGTGTTTCTCAACCCCCCAACACTGCACATGTTGTATGTCTCCCTTATCTGACACCCATTTCAGGTCCTGGAGTTTCTTTTAATGCGCTAATGAGTTGAATCAGGTGTGTTTGATTAGGGAGACACAAAATGTGCAGTGCTGGGGAGCGCCCAGGACCAGGGTTGAGAAACAGTGACCTAAAATGATGAGAGTTTTTCTATGCGGCGGGAAAGGAACATGCTGGGTCAGGAATCATTAAGACCAGCAGGAGAACCGAATTCAGCAACAGAGATTGAAAAGGTATAGAAACAGGTTGAGTGTCTCTTCATCTTCCAGTCATACAGAGTTTAGTAAAACATGTTTCCAAAGACATTCACGAAAAAATGTCATTGGTATTACTAACATGGTATTTTTTAAAGGACCCTAGCATGCCATAACAATAATAACCAGCTGGCTGTCCATTTTACCACGTACTACACACCTACTTAACCATTAGGCCTAGATAGATGGACAGAATGATAGAACGATAGCTAGATAGACAGACAGACAGACACACACACACACACACACACACACACACACACAGAGAGAGAGAGACAGATAGATAGATAGACAGAGACCGACCGATAGATAGACAGACAGACAGGCACACATTGTGACTGACTTGGTACATTTATTGCAGTATGTTTGTTTTTAGAAAAATAGAACACGGAGAGAGAGAGAGAAAGCTGTCAGTTTTACTGTTAGCTGGGACTGGATGATATCTGCCATTGCCAGAATATCTCCTGAGATTAGTGCACTTAAAAGGTGACAATGCAAATACAACTTCACCCACTTTCAATGCTAGGAAATGAAATCACACCACAAACACACACAGTCACATATGCTGTTAAAGCCAGAGGCGTGATGTGTGTGCGTCTCTGTGGAGATGGACATAAAACACACACACACACACATTCTGGACTGTCTGCTTCGGCTCAGGGCTCCACAGTGAGATATGTGTTCCATCTGAATCTGAGGAAATCACATTACTCCAGAGTCATCCAGTGTGTGCGTGTGTGTGTGTGTGTGTGTTCAATGCAGCACTTATGGCCTGAAGTCATACAAACAAATACATTCTACATAATATGCAATGACAAAGGTACAGAGTGGGAAACTGGGAATTACTTAGTGAATGTATGTACAGTATGTGTAGTACATTATGTACAGTACATGGTCACATGTCTCTGTAGATGCCGAACAGAAAAACACAGTGATTGTGTGTATATGTGTGTGTGCAAGAAACAGCTTTAGCTTGAAAGAGAATGCTTAGATTTTCACATGCATATGTTTGCATGCATGTCCACAGAAAAGAAGAATCACAAGTGGGATCTCTTTCATCTCTTCAATGAAAAGCATTTGAAGTCTACTGATGTTTCTCCTGAGAAAAAGACCCCAGTAATCTCTCCTGTAGAGTTTCAATTGAGATCTTAACATCCCAGACATTCTACATAATATGCAATGACAAAGGTACAGAGTGGGAAACTGGGAATTACTTAGTGAATGTATGTACAGTATGTGTAGTACATTATGTACAGTACATGGTCACATGTCTCTGTAGATGCCGAACAGAAAAACACAGTGATTGTGTGTATATGTGTGTGTGCAAGAAACAGCTTTAGCTTTAAAGAGAATGCTTAGATTTTCACATGCATATGTTTGCATGCATGTCCACAGAAAAGAAGAATCACAAGTGGGATCTCTTTCATCTCATCAATGAAAAGCATTTGAAGTCTACTGATGTTTCTCCTGAGAAAAAGACCCCAGTAATCTCTCCTGTAGAGTTTCAATTGAGATCTTAACATCCCAGGCTCGATCAGATTTGCCTGCTGCAGTCAAAGGTCAGAGAGCTCAAACATTTCTCATCAAATGATCTGATCGGGTCCATTCAATAATATTACGATACAACATCTGATTTGAATAAGGTATTAGCCCATTTTAAAATTAACAGATTAATAAATGCTTTAGAAGTATTTTTCTTTGCTAGGTCATGTTAACTAATGTTAAGAAAATTGGACCGTTATTGTAAATAGTTACCATTTAATGTGTGATCACTCCCCATAGGTCTTCTTTGCTAACACATGAAACACACAGTCTACTCTTGTAAACAACACCCTTACCTCTATTTCTCCCACATGACGCTCACTGTGAGTGTCTTGGCTCACATACATAAATAGTCACTGTTTTTTTTTTACCAACCAATATACTACACAGTAAATATGAATGTAAATATGACATGCATGGTTTCATCAGATGCCCTGGAGAATCTCTAGACACCTCAAATATCCTATTGTGACTCAAAGTACTTAGAAATCAATAGCATCAAGGCCTTTTCTTTATGATAGGTTTCTTACTGGAGGAACCATTGACAGTCTTTAAGAGTTCTTGCAGAAAGTAATAGTTCATTTGGTTGTCTGTTCTTTATTAAAGGTGCTTACAGATGTTCTGCAGAAGGATTAATCGTATCATGTTTCTGCACTGTTAATGCCATACTCTCAATACTACCAAACTAATCTTTGATGTTAAAACTAAAACTAAAAACACTAAAAACATCTGGTGTGAGATTTACTTAGAAGCTGTTTTCTCTCAGAAACTGCTAGTACATTTTTACTAACACTTACAAACAAATGGCATGCAATGCATATAATTAAACATAACATTTTGAAGTAGGAAGACTGAAATAGTATTTTCTTGTTAATGTTATAGTTATAGCGCTATTCTCTTACTGTATGACAACTATTGACTAATTGTGTATCCAAAGGAATTTTAGGATAATGTTGATGCTTAAATGAATCATAAGAGCTCCATTATATCTCTGGGGTTATAAAAGAGCAACATTTGAGGAAATTACTTTGGGTTTTTCCTTTTTCACACAGTAAATTTCACTAATAATTACAAAGAAATGACAAGCAACGCATTGAATTTAACATGACATTTTGAAGTAGAAAAACTGAAATAGTATTTTCTTGTAAAACATTAATTTTATATTATTTTAATTTTATACTATTCTCTTACTGTATGACAACCATTGACTAATTAGTCTATCCAAAGGAATGAGCTCCATTATATCTCTTGAGTTATGAAAGAACAACATCTGAGCAATTTACTTTGGGATTTACTTTGAAACTATTTCGAAACTGCTAGTACATTTCCCTAATAATTACAAAGAAATGGCAAGCAACGCATTGAATTAGACATGAAATAAATAGTATTTTCTTGTCTTTTACACTGTAGTTCACCCAAAATTTCACCCATATTTGAGTTATGGGCCCTTTAAGTTAATTATGTCCACATTTTCATACCTTTAATGAGTGTTCCCGTCACCAGTTTGCCCACAGACAGAGCAAACTTCACTAACCCGTGTTTGCAGCACCTGGCACAGCCGGACATCCTCACAATGTCCAAACGAGTTCAATATTCAGCTCAAAGACAGATCAGACAGTCAAGCAACAGAGTAAAATGGAACCATCAGAAAGGAGAACCAAAATCCAGGACCTTTGAGAATCAACTAAGTTACACCCACAGACTCGACTGAAAAGAAGCTACAGATGAGAAAAGTGTTTGATTGTCTTCGACAGTGTGAAATCCTGTTCTTTCTCCTGAGAGCTCAGTTTCCGCTCGGATAGGATGCACAGAAATCAATGAAGGATCCAGTCAATGAAACACCATGAAAAGACTCAATATAAGTCCAACTTTGTCACAACCTCTGTGTCCTCGTTTCTTCAAAGAAAAAGTACAAGGGCAGGAAAGAAGAGAATGAATAATTAAAGAATGTCAGAGACCCTCTGATGAAGAGTGATGATCAGCTGCAAACTGACGAAAAGCCCGATTTCATCCGCTTTTATTCCCACTCTCTCTCTCTCTCTTTGTGATGCAGAGCAACGTTTCACTTCCAGCACTGCTGTGTGTGGACAATTTCCTCTGAGGCAAGATGGTTCTGTATTACTGTATGTTACTGTATCTCCTCCCTCTCTCTTACATGTTCTGCCCTTCTTTAAGAAGGTTTTGCATGGATGGAGAATATTACTGCAATTAAATATGAGCACCACTAAAATTATACATTCTGTATACTGCACTGTAAAAATAAATGAGCAAACAGACCAGTGACTGGACTCCGTTAGTATGCCAATCGGATCAGAATTACAGCAGAAATCTCAAAGCATGAGTCTTATCTGTACCAAAACTGTATAAATTAGTGAGTATCCTGTTCTTTCTCCTGAGAGCTCAGTTTCCGCTCGGATAGGATGCACAGAAATCAATGAAGGATCCAGTCAATGAAACACCATGAAAAGACTCAATATAAGTCCAACTTTGTCACAACCTCTGTGTCCTCGTTTCTTCAAAGAAAAAGTACAAGGGCAGGAAAGAAGAGAATGAATAATTAAAGAATGTCAGAGACCCTCTGATGAAGAGTGATGATCAGCTGCAAACTGACGAAAAGCCCGATTTCATCCGCTTTTATTCCCTCTCTCTCTCTCTCTCTTTGTGATGCAGAGCAACGTTTCACTTCCAGCACTGCTGTGTGTGGACAATTTCCTCTGAGGCAAGATGGTTCTGTATTACTGTATGTTACTGTATCTCCTCCCTCTCTCTTACATGTTCTGCCCCTCTGCCCTTCTTTAAGAAGGTTTTGCATGGATGGAGAATATTACTGCAATTAAATATGAGCACCACTAAAATTATACATTCTGTATACTGCACTGTAAAAATAAATGAGCAAACAAACACAGACCAGTGACTGGACTCTGTTAGTATGCCAATCGGATCAGAATTACAGCAGAAATCTCAAAGCATGAGTCTTATCTGTACCAAAACTGTATAAATTAGTGAGTGAGCGAGTGAGTGAGTGATCAGGAATAAGAAAATGTTGTTCTGGGTTCAGTGCAACATATCTGTTGTTCAAATTACTGAATGCAATTTTAAGTCATCCTCAAAATCAGTAAAATTACAATTACTGAAAAGGCTTGTTTTGTTTGTTTTATGGAGAGCTTGGTTAATTGGGCAAATAAAAAAAAAACTACATTTATTGTACAAATGTACTGTATACTTTTTCTACAAATGTATAAAACTGATTTGAGATCAGTTAAAAATCATGGACACTCGCCTTTGGATTCACGGCGATCACCATCTAGCAGCAAACCATTGAAATCTTGAAAGTTTCGAAACACACAGCAGAAATCTCAAAGCATGAGTCTTATCTGTACCAAAACTGTATAAATTAGTGAGTGAGCGAGTGAGTGAGTGATCAGGAATAAGAAAATGTTGTTCTGGGTTCAGTGCAACATATCTGTTGTTCAAATTACTGAATGCAATTTTAAGTCATCCTCAAAATCAGTAAAATTACAATTACTGAAAAGGCTTGTTTTGTTTGTTTTATGGAGAGCTTGGTTAATTGGGCAAATAAAAAAAACTACATTTATTGTACAAATGTACTGTATACTTTTTCTACAAATGTATAAAACTGATTTGAGAAATAAGCTCAGTTTGCTAAAATCACATAACTTTGGCTGTTTGATACAAAGCATTGATACAAAGCTTCTCAAAGCAACATTTCGAAAGCACCCATCACTAGTCACCGCTTTCTGTCACGTTCAAAACAAAACATAAATAATATTATAATGATCTGTGAAGCTGTTTTTGTAAATGCCTGAGACCATCATATGGCACCTGCAGGGCTTACGGAGCATTTGAGGATTAAAGTGATCCAAAAATAAGGTGATTAAAAAGAATAGTTGAACATTAGTTCACGAATAAAATCTGAAATACACTGTAACTGCATTTTTATAGCTATTACGTTTGAATAAATGTTTTTTAAAAACGCTTAAAACACTTAAGTCGAATGTTAATGTAAACATGCAAAACAGCAGGCCTATTGTATTGGTTGTTAATAGTCTAAGTTGTTATTTATTTACATATTTATCTATTTATTTAACCTAAAAAAGTATTAAGTAAAACTGGAACATTAAAAAGAAGTATAGGCTATGTATTTTTACTGGATTCACATGGGAACATGTGATTTTAGCTTGTCATATTCCTCATTTGTAAATCGCTTTGGATAAAAGCATCTGCTGAATGAATAAATGGAAGTGTAATGTACTACACTCACGTTCAGTAGGCTATCTGTTGATTTGGCTGGGTCTAATTTGTGCAATCTTTAGTACTTTCTGTACAGCAGCACATGCAGCAAGAACCAGCAGGAATCTCAAAGGATGAGTCTTATCTGTACTAACCCAAAGCTCACATTTTTACACCTGCAGTGTGACGCAGACCTGCAGCTCAGTGTCGCTCACATTGTGAAGTGAATCTTTCTGTTCCCAGAAGAACACCAGATCTCTGGCTGCATCCAAATTCGCCTTCTGTCCTAGGGCTGGGCGATATAGCAAAAAAAATTATCACAATATAATGTTTCATATCATTCGGTATCGATAATTATTGAAAATGTTTTATAAAATTTCTTAAACAGAGAGCAGTAGAAATGAAAGCTCACAGCTTTACACCTGCAGTGTGACGCAGACCTGCAGCTCAGTGTCGCTCACATTGTGAAGTGAATCTTTCTGTTCCCAGAAGAACACCAGATCTCTGGCTGCATCCAAATTCGCCTTCTGTCCTAGGGCTGGGCGATATAGCAAAAAAATGTATCACGATATAATGTTTCATATCGTTCGGTATCGATAATTATTGAAAATGTTTTATAAAATTTCTTAGAGAGCAGTAGAAATGTTTTTTTTTTTATTTAACCACTGTATTTTTAATTTACCTAATTTATTAAGACAAACAACAACTTATTTTAGTCTTAACAAACAAAATAACAAATAAAACAAAATAACAAAATACAATTTCAACATATCTCCTTTCTTAAATTTATATGCAGATTAAATAAGTGTAAAGGAAATATTTGGCCTGTCTCCTGAGGCCACAGGAGGGCGCAATGAGCAAAATAATGCACCTCATTAAATTGTTTATTCAATGCAATGAAATAACGACTGTCTATAAAAAAAGTGCATACCGTCGAAACTAATATTTATAAATCAAATATAATTTCGTAAATTGCATAAACAATTATGAACAAAACAGCATCATGTATTTATGCATAGATTAATACAAATAGCCAAAGCGCCGATCACACGATCGCATGTAAAAACATAAGAGACGCAGAATGGAATGGAATAAAACCCCAACCAATTCTCGAGACTTTTCTAAAAGCTGAACCTTTTTTTAACATGGCTTTCTATTCATCTCTTGTGCGAGCCGCGAGTGCAACAGTCATAGTTGTGCGTCTCAAGAACGCGCCGAATATGCGTTCTGTGTGAATGGCTTGGTTTCGGTTTTAACCAAACCAATATCTTCTCCGCATTGAGCTTCTAAAGTTCTCTAATATTTTGAATGAATAATGCAGCAGCGGCGCATCTTGTGGGTTCAACTGGATATAAACTAACAAAAACATTCAAATGCAACAACACAGGGATGCGGGAAGTAGGGGTGCTGAGGGGGCTGCAGCACCCCCTGTTTTCACATGGTTGCAAATGCAACGCCAGGTTTGTTCATTTAAATTTATTCAGATTTAGCAATTTCTGAAATGTAAATTGTACGTGGGCTATAATAAACCCATGTTTATCTTAATAAACATGATTAATTTTACTTGTGATGTTTTCTACTTGGGGATGATTAGCCTAATCCTCATGAACACGTGACGCTAGTGCCCCCTAACCCCCCCACCACACACAGCACCCCCAACCGAAAGCATCTTCCCGCGCCCCTGCAACAACATCATCCTCGCCGCATCTCGTGGTCCTCTGATAAGGCTCCCTGACACACACCTAAAATTCAAATACACCGTTTTTGCATTCAAATGCAAATTTTATTTTAAATTCGACTAATATTCCTTTTTTGATTCATAGTCTTCTCATCGCAGGCAGGCACGGCACTCATTTCAGCATGTGTTTGTGTTCTGGCTCTCTGCTTGTCCCTCATAACATGCGCCTTTAAATGAAAAAAGCGTGAAACTATCGTGCGATACATGAATTTTTCTTCTATCGTTATCAGTGTACCGTCGATAAATATCAATACCGTTTTATCGTCCAGGCCTATTACAAACATAATATGTTTGTTACAAACACACAGCTTTTCATGTCACAAAACATTAATTGATAGACTGGAGTCGTGTGGATTATTGTGATGTTTTTATCAGCTGTTTGGACTCTCATTCTGACGGCACCCATTCACTGCAGAGGATCCATTGGTGAACAAGTGATGTAATGCTAATTTCTCCAAATCTGTTCCCATGAACAAACAAACTCATCTACATCTTGGATGACCTGAGAATGAGTACATTTTCAGCTAATTTTAATTTTTGGGTGAACTATTTCTTGAGAAACCTTTGAGCACTAACAGTTATGCAATGAATATAACCAGATGCCTCCAGACAGTATGTAAAATGTCCAGATGCAGTTTTATTTTGATAAAATTACTCATAATTCAAGTTAAATATTTCAACAGTTTTCGAGAATTACCTTATTTACAGAAATTTACTCTAGAGAGACATTTCTAGGGACTTTCATGCACACCGTTAATTTATTTCCCAGTGTATTCTCAGTGGCGGAGAGCAGCATAATGAGAAACATGTTTTTTAATAAAAAACCCTGAGGTGTGTTTTCTCTCTTGTGACCTGCCACATAATCTCACTGAGCCCACATATATTCAGGACTGTTTATCTATGAGTTCTTTAATGGAAAAATGAAGCCCTCTGTTCCCACAAGCAAAGTGCCTCATCACTGGAGGAAGTGCAGAGACAAGAGAGGAAGTTATTAAACCTAGATGAAAGGCAGAAAGAAAGAGAGCAGAAAGAGCGAGCGATGTGTCTGACTGAAGGCAACTTGGCCCGTTCATCGACGTTGCTTTCTGCTTTAAGGTTGTTCAAATGTTGTGCTTGTAACGGTTTGTGTTATCAGTCAGTGCTCTGAGCGGCGCCACAGACACAAACCATAGCTGAAACAGTCCGTCACCAGAGATGGGCATAAATACATGAAAATGTATTTAAAATAAAAATACAAAATACTGTGTGGAAAAATGTATTTAAATACAAATACAA